GAGAGACAAGATTTGAATGGGGCCTTTAACTACTTTTAATATATCTATGAAAGCCAACTATCCTGGCATCATGGGTTAGCTTACTCTTCTGTGCCCTGACGCTGGAAAAATTGCCCAGGAAATGAATGGCGAGCCCATATGCCTCCCTGTGTACTAGCCACCAAGCATTAAATGTCATTTCTCAAGGTCCCAGCGTTAGAGCAGCACCATGGCTTTTACGTAATTACAAATGACTCCAAATGCATATTTACTGTAGCAGCTCAGTAGCAGCAGACCTGCCCAGCAAGTCTCCTCTTCATGCATTATTGACAGGGGTGGCGGCCTTGCAGGCAACAACATTGTACTCACTTGTGGTAACAAGAACATATATCTGATTGCTCACAAATTACCCCTCTTTGCCTGCCATCTTTCCTACCAGTGGATCGATAGCCCTCTGACAAGCATCTGAAATCTTTATTTGGGGGAAAAAATACACATTTCCTACTAGCTGTTTGTTTTCCAAACCCAATAATTCATTTAATTTCTTGCCTGAATGCATTTCCAACACTGGCAAACCTCTCATCCATGCTGAGGTCACTGGGGTCCTGAGGATGTGCAGAACAGAAATGGGAATATACTTCTTGCATCTGAACCAGCACTTTGGTGGAAAAAGCTATCCAGGGTAGGGGAAGAGTGCCAAGTGACTCCAAGCAGCCTTGGCAACTGGAGCATCTAGGGGTTCTGATATAATAACAATGCTCTTATGCCTTTTCTTGAATCCATCCTGAGTTTGAGAGGCATTCTGGTATGGCAGTGAGGGGCCTGTGATCTGAAATCAGGCTTCCTGGGTTTGAATTCTAGCCCACTAACTTAGGTAACCTACTCAGGTGACCTACTCAGTAACCCAAGTAGGTCTCATGTTCCTTGTCAGTAAACTGGGGAAAGATTTGCAAAGTACTCAATAAATGTTCACTGTTGATTCTGAGGCATGGGACAGTAAGAAGGTGAAACCCAGCTCACATGTGGTCCAGCACTCAATGTTCAAAGTGCAGTCCCTGGACATTGCTAGGAACTTGGGGAGTTTGATACAAACTCAGAATCTCAGCATCCCTGCCTCCAGGACCCAGTGAACAACAATCAGTGTTTTACCCTGCTGATTTGTTGGCACATTAAAGCTTGAGAAGCAGGACTGTAGCTATCCATACAGTTTTCAACGGCAATATGCCCTCCAATTGGCTGTTTTTTAACATTACCTCAACCTGGCCAGGGAGGTCTTCCTGCCTCTAAATAAGGCTGTGTCTATGGTGGCCTTCCCTGGGTCTGGGGTTAGGCCTGAGAGAAATAGGTTTCATTTAGAGAAGCAACTAACACCCCTTTCTCCCTCTGTTCCCACAGTGAATATGTGACAGCTGAGGTGTCCACAAGGGCATCCTGTCTGTACTCATCAGAAATAGAGATTTCTTTCATTTGGGTAGAGAGAGACCTTCCTATTGATTCAAATTATCAAGGTTTTAAAATTATCCTGAACTAGTTAAAGGCACCAGCCTAGAAGACCCTGGTCCCCATCACCAGCCAGGAATCTGGGTACCCCATAGATCAACAGATGCTGCTTTTGAACATGATAGAGCCCCACTGGGTCTCCTCCACCTACCTCTGCAGGAGACAGTGTGGGGCTGGGCAGAGCAGTAAGCCAAGCCCTGGAGAGACAGAAAGCCCCAAACAGCAGGGAGGCTAGCTCATGATTCTCGGCTAGCCTATGCATTCATCTCAAGAACAGGCTTTTATTTCCGTGGGGAGTTCACCATCTCTTAATCACAAAAGCAATAAGACTTTCCAGTATGTTCCTCTGCCATGCCTAATCCGTTGTTCCGGCTGCCAGTCACCGGCCCTGCCTGGAAGGTCACCTAAACGCCCTCTTCTACCCCTGAATACAGTGCTGACCCCTGAAGTGACACGGACAATGAAGGCTGCCCTGTGGGCAGCCTGTGCGGTGCCGGTTGATTTGATCACAGGAGTTTTGTTAATATTGCCCTGGATTCTGGAGGAATCTGTTTTCTTCTTTATGCTTGGATCAGTAGGCCTCCGATGCCCCATTGTTGAGGTTGGAAATCATTTTGAGTGTGTATGGAAGGAAATTTTTCCTTTTGTGAATGACCTTAGAATACTCTAACATGGAGATTTTCTTCCTGGGGTTAAAAATCACTTTAAAAAGCCAGAGCATTTGTCTGGAAGTGTGTGTTGTGGTGGGCAGGTCTAGGTAGAGTTGGCAGGTATTCAGACTCTAGACAGTAAGAGAGACAAGCCCCTGCCTGGTACAGAGTAGGGGCTGGAAGATTGTGTTTGAACGAATGAATGAATGACTGCATCAAGTATGTTGGAATCCTGGATGTATGACTGCGATATGGTTGGAAACTCCTAGAAGTTGGTGTTAACAAGAGAGGCTTTCTGTGTTTGTGCCCTCGTGAAAATCTCTGAGAAATATGGGTCTTTGGTAGAGGCCCAGGGCGAACCTCCTGATGCTACAGCTCTCTGACTCCAGAGTTTTGTCCATTTTATTGGAAAGGTCAATGAAATGGAGGTACAGTATATGTTGGGAAGACACGCTGTGTCTCCTGTTACTTCTCTGGTCATTATGTTGGGTCACAGGCAACATCCACAATCAACAGTTTTGCTCTGGGCCCTGCATGCAAACTACTCTGTGCAGATACTGAATTATAAGCTTCTGCAAACATCTCACCAGAGTTTGTTCTAGACTTCTCATCCTTTCTTTTTCTCTCCCATCCCTCTCACCCTTCCTTTCTCTCTCTATCTAAAAATAAATAACAACATATTCTTGGTGATGATTTAAATAAATAAATTGTAAACACAATGTTTGGTGGATAGATGGATGAATGGATGATGGATAGATGAATAATGGATAGTTGGTCCTAGCTATTAAGTGGGATGAAGGAAAGGTACTTTACCAGTCCTAGCTTATAGTGTACAGCAAGCTGAAAAAAAAAACCCACAAAAAAACACCAAATTTCCCATCCTATTTCCTTGCAGCTAAAGCAAAAACATAGCTAATATACTAAAGTAGACCTCTGGGAAGCAACCCATTTTCTATGAACCATGGAGTAGAGCATAAAGTGTGCACACCAAGCTTCCCTGTTGCCCATCGAGTTACAAGTAGCAGAGGCAGTGCTTCCCTTGTGACACACACACACACACACACACACACACACACACACACACACACAGAAACACCTCCAGAGGATAGTTAAGTGATGGGTGCATTCAGCAATTGCAGCAAAACAAATAAGAGCTGCTCACATCACTACACTAAGGTATAAAAAAAAATTAGCTGTGTTTCCACTGTGTCTCTGCGACCTCTTATTATTTCATTAGTGTTTGGAATAGTATATAAAACACCACACTGTATGCTGACAAACACCAGTCCTAAAACTATTGCCACAGTGAATCCAAACCACAGCCTTCTCTCTTGGGTAAAATTATTATTTGGAATACAAGCAGAACTGTGGTCGCCTGAGCGAGATGAGCATAAACGAGGGCAGTGATTCATAAGGTGACTGCAGCGTGTTTGCAAATGTGCAACTTTTCTGTAGGCGGAAACATGGTCTTTTTGAGCCAGTAAGCATTTTCTGGTCACACCACCTCTTGAAGACGTAGAGGGCTGTGCAGGATGTAGGTTTCTGAGGACAAGAGTTAACCTGACACAATGCTGACTTGCCAGAAATAAACCCTTCAAATCAGATCACACTCCTGTCAGTTGCTTTTTAAGCGGGAAGATGGTAATTCTGCCTTTTGACATGTTCCTTTAAGTCCTTGAACTCTTATCCCATTGGATTAAGCTTTTGGGGGCTGGGTCATCTGAGGTATTAATTCTATCCAGAAGAGGTTGGAGAAATGTGGTGCTGGTCTAAAAATACTACTCCCTGAACTTTTAAACCTTCCAATCGCTTTGATTATGTGGCTCCTTTGTCTTGATCCTTAGCCTGATTTATTTTTTTTATCCATTTATTCTTTGATATCAGTATAGTAAGTTCAAAAAAGAGCAGGGTCGGGCATAAAGCTCAGCATAGCTCTGTAGAGAGAAGGAAGTTAAAGAGAGTCCGTGTAGGGATGCTCATGTGATGGCACTCTAATGAGATGTCTGCTATGTTCCAGACACTGCCAGAGCCTCTCTGCTAGTGACAGACCCTGCAAGTGACAAGCCCAGCGTCTCCTGTGACATCCTACCAATTAGCCCATCTAAATAGGCCACATTTAAATTTGAGGTCACGTACCATTCTCAGAGGTGGGGCTGCCCCTATGGATGAGGCTGTAACTCACTCTGTGTCATAATAGGCAACAACAGGGATGATCCCAGCAGGGCCTGTGAGACCACCTTTCCATACTCTACAGTGTTAGGATAAGACTCCTCCTCCATGAAGACCAAGTACAGCATCCATCACACCATCAGGGAAACGCCTGGGGTCAGTTAGACTCTGAAGTTAAAAGAGTGCAAGATCCTGCACGGGTGCTAGGATGGGGGCAGCTCCGTTCTCATTACATTGACTTAACAGTGACAGGGAGAGACCCCAGACTGACCCACAGTGCTGGCAGCAGCGATGAGGAGTGGACGAAGGCCTTATAGGTCAGCAGAGCAGATCTTCTGCTACCTGACTCCCGTCCCTCCTGACGGAAGGGTGCTAATGTAGAGACCTTCGCCCCGATGCAGACGTTAGAAGACTGACTAATGATACTGTGTCAGACAGGAGGCTGGCGGGGCAAGGCGCTGCTATAGGAAACCATGACCCTCAGCCTGGAGTCAGCCACACATGAGTTCCTCAGGCAGCCCTCCAGGCACATCCGCTGGGGAACCTGTTTCACCATGAAAACAATGCTATGTATCTCCAATAAGAGAAGTGTTCAAAGAGGAAAACAAGCCCCTAAAATATGCTTGCTGTCCGCCTTTGATGTTTAAAAAATGTGGGTTTCACTTGGGGCACAGTCTGATGCTTGTTCTCCCTTGATTTCAGCTTCCATTTTCTCCAGCAATCATTCAAGCCGAAGCGGAACAGCTGCTGGGGCTGTGCCACCCCCACATCCTGTCAGTCACCCTTCTCCAGGACATAATGTACAGGGGAGCCCCCACAACCCCTCCTCCCAGTTACCTCCACTCACAGCTGTGGACGCGGGAGCTGAGAGGTAAGGCCATCTGTCTCTCTCTTCTAATAGGTGTTGCGGCCAAACCTCCTTCCACACGGAGAAGGGCTTTGACAGTTGCTGAATTTTATTAATAATCCATTGGTGGGTTGAGTTACCCAAAGATGACATTTAAAAAGTACATACACAAAACATGTGGATCAAATATCTCGTCTGTTTTATTTTCCGTGGGGAAAAATGAAAAGATATTGGCTGCCAACTGAAGTGTCTGATGCTGGGAAAACACATCAGAATGTTTCTGTCCTTCCCACCTTTCCTTCGCTTGTTTCAGGGACTCAGTTTTAAGGTAATGTCCCTACCAGTGGGAATGCTTTTCAAACGTAAGGTGGAACGTTCCGGTGCACAGGTCAGCAGTGTTTGGTTGAGAGTATAGGTCAGCAGTGTTAGGTTGAGAGTGCAGCATAAAAGGGCACAGGACTCTGTATGGGTGACAGGGAAGGCGCTATTCGCTGTATACTTTATGTTGATACCACCCTCATAAAGAGTTTTTGGGAGAAAATTTTGAAACCTTGACACTTTGGACTGACCCTCCAATGATGTGGACTGCATGCCACTCTTCTTGGTTCCTCCCCACCTGCCATCTGGCTTGATTTGAGTTACCTAGAGGTTCCTCTCAGACATCCACGGGGTGGAGGGAGTAAGGTTCTGAATGATATTAGCCATGGGCCCTCCATCATCTCATTGTATTCTGCCTGGCTGAGAATCATGCTCTACAAGGTAGTGTTGATCTTGAACAAATAGACAGCCACTACGTCTGCAGAAAAAAATGGGTTTCTTCCAGAATAAGAAATAACTGTAATTCAGGACATTCAGGCTAATGGCAAACCATGTGCAAGTCCAAAGAAATAAAGGAGAGGAATACTCTTAATGGACTTGGGAGGGGCTCTTGTAAAGAAGAGTCCATTGGAGGAAAGTGATGGTCCAAAGTATAGTGACTTTTCATTGGTTGAGTTATGGCAGTTTTCCCATTGGCTGACCTGTTACTGGTCAAAAAGCAATTTTTCTTCCTCCAGCTAAGGTAGTAAAGTAATATTACTTCCCGCTGGAGATGCAACATACATCTCTTCTGTTGAGGTCAGTAGTGTGGGTTAAGTGATATGTGCATGAGAGTTCTCTCATCTAGTCTCCTGACTCCATTTTAAAGGTTTCTGTTTATTAATTTTTCACAATGGTAAAATTCAGAAACTATCCAATGAGATCTTCTCTTTTTCATCTCATCTTATTAGTAATCACAAAAACTCTTTACACGAATATGAGAAAAACAATCCACAAAGCTTCTTTTTGTACACAGTCATTAAAAGAATAAATGTAGAAAAAGATTTTAGCTACTGGTGGAGGCAAGAACAGCAGTAGCAAGTAAAAAACCTGATATCTGAATGCAGCTTCCACAGTTACCTATGGTTTGAATGTGTTCCTTAGAAACTCCAGATGCATGGGTTGATTTTTAAAAAAACATTTTATTTTATATAATTTTTTTCAATTTTGGAAATTTATAACATATTAAAAAAAACTGGAAGAATAGTACAATGAACACCCATACACCCTATACCCATATTTCACCCACTGTTAATATTTTGCTACCTTCTCTCTCTAAATATATATATCTCTTTTTGTCTTCCCTTTCCTAACTTGGCAGATCCTTTGTTTGTTTGTTTGTTTACCTGTTATTTCTGCATGATTTATGAGGTTGTTGCAAACATCATTGAGCTAATTTAACCTTAATTACTTCAGAAGAGATCCCCTAAGAAGGACATTCTCCCACATAATCACAATATAATTATCACACTTAGGAAACTTAGCATTAATATGGTATTATTATCTAATATGCAATCAATATTCAAATTTCCCCCATTATGGGAATAATGTTTTATATAGGTGGGTTTGTTTTTTTTTCATCCTTTTTATGATCCAGGATCTAACAAGGATCACAATGCTCATTTCTTCTTGGTCTTCTTGAATCTAATGAAGTTCCCCAGCTTTTAAAAATTATTATTATTATTATTATTATTATTATTATTATTATCTTTCATAACATTGACAGTTTTTTAAGAATTTGTAACATTTCTTTTGCAGGATGTTTTACAGACTGGATTTATATGATGGTTTCCTACTAAACAGATGTTCACATTTTTGGCAGGAATATACATGGGTGATGTAGTTAGTGTCCCTTAACTCAGTTTTGCACCTCATAAGGATTAGGAATAAATAAACCAAAGCAGGAAAAGCACAGAGCATGTTACATGGCATGAAGCAGACAGGAGTAGCTGTTGCTGCTAACAGAGACCAGCAACCTTGACTTGGCTGAAAGATTCAGATTTAGAAGCCAGAGGGTGTGAACTGATTACAGCGCTTGCTAATGTAACTAATCTAGGAAGGAAAAATGAAGAGGAAGGGGAGGGTAGTGGTTCTTTATATATATAGCTGGGTGAATGAAGTGGACGTTTCATTTTGTGGCTTTGCCTTGCTGCTCTGCTCTTCCCACAAGGTGTATGCCCCATCCCTGTGCCAGCCCGCCTGGAATGGACAAGTGTGTGGAAGGAAGGTTATCTCTCCGGATCACGTTCAGAGAGGAGGAGGACATGAAATAGCCCTGAATCATTCACTGTGTTTGCATTAGTGTCCAGCCTAAAAACACTAAGAGGAAATGTGCTTACCTTCCGCTTTTGGTTTATGTATCTTTGCTTCTGTGTGCCTGGGAAATCCCCCAGTAAAAACTCCAGAAGTTTGCTTAACGGAAATAAGTTTATCACACTTTGCGATTTTTAGTGGGAAACAGGCATTTTTTCCTGCTTTGTGGGCATTGATTCATGATTTACTTAGCTTTTACTTGTTAATAAAACGAGCTGACTCACTGTCAGAAGTCAGGAAAGGTCCACCACATCCAGCCAGTTAACGTCAGGTTCTTTGATTCTTCAACCATCTTAAAATAAAAAGTCCTGCCGGTTTGGCCAGGTTTCATTTTTATCTTGAAACAGTACCTGAATGACATCATTTCAGTGATTGAAGCAGTATCGCACCACATCACCTAATGTTGGTTTAAGCTTATTATGGGAAGTGGTATTTTACTGCATCATCCGGAATAAGCCGGTGATACTTTATAACAGGGGCTTCCCATAAGAAGAACCCAGTGTCGTAGGTGATGTTAGTTTATTGTATTTCATAGTATATCTTTTAGACCAGAAAACACACACACACACACACACACACACACACACACACACACACACACACACACATATTGATGGGAGTTTCTTCTTGAGATGGAGAAACCTTGCAACCCCAATAATGAGTTGGCTGGATTTGTGTTATTCATCTTTTCCTCATGCCAGCTGCATCTCTCCGTTCTGAAGAAGACCACAGACATGGTGTGCTCTTCAGAACAAGCAGCAGAGCGTGAGAGGCATGGTGGATTGACCCTAGTGGAGTGACTTTCTCTGAGCTCCACCTCTGAGCCAGAGAGGACTGAAAGCAAGGCTGTGGTCTTCTTGAGGAGTATAAAATCCAGTGCAGGAATCAACAGCAGAGAATGTTAGGGATGGGTGTTTTTGAGAAAGTAATCAAAACACCTTAACCAAATAAGGCATGTCTATTTATTGAGTCTGAATCAAATCTTGGGATTTCTTACTGTTTTTCATTCATATCAGATGTAAAGTTGCTAAAATTCTTGGTACTTCGATATATGTACGCTCTTTCTGTGCATCTTAATTCCGAGTCTTTCTCTACTTAAGACTTTGCTTATTGTCATGATCTTGACTAAATGTTACTTATTCTTTGGAGCTTGGGTTAGTTCTCATCCCAGAAAGGCTTCTTGTCTTTTGAAGGTCAGAGAGACAAGTCACCCTGTTAACTCCCTGGGATCTTTTTATCTGTTTAATTTGTTTACCATTTCCCAGATGTCACTTTGCTAGCTGGATTATTAGTTATTATGTTTCCTTATACCCTCCAAAGTTCCATGGACTGAGCTACTCAGTGTAGGTGCTGAGGAGGGTTTCACAAGGGAAACACCTCAGTGAGGGGAATGCCTTGGAAACAGGAATTCCAGTTCTCACTGTTGGAAGTTCCCGGAAAGATTTGCTTCCCTTTATTCATTGGTCTTGATGTTGGTGATCTTAATTCTCAAAAGTTTCTACTATCTTGTGTAATCTGCATATATTGACACATTAAGTAGTTGTTCTAATAAAATACATACATTCATGCACACATACACGTTGCCTAGAGTCCCTTGGCCATCATCCACTACTGGGACTCCCTACATTACTCTCCTTCAATATTAGAAGCATTGCATGCATCCTTCTCTCTTACTTGCACGTGTGGCATCTGAACAGCTCAGAACTAGGTGTGTTGCTTTGCTGTTCTTCCCTCCCCTTGGACTTTCTGAGAAAACAGGGACATTGGTGACTTCACACATTCAGCTTGTTCACAGCCTTACACACACAAACACATATTCCACACAATCTTTCTCTTCTTAATCCCCTTGTAAATATGCAAAAATGACTAAAAATCAAAAGCATCATATAAAGTATTAAAGCTTATTAAAATCTATCTCAGCATTGTGTTCATTAATTTATTGAGTCATTCACTCAGCTGGTGTTTGTGTACCAGGAAGTATTCTGGACACTGAGGACATAGTGGTCATAAGACTAAGAGAACTCTGTCCTCAAAAAGTGTCCAGTCTAATGAGGGACAACCAGATAAATAGGCAACTATGATTTAGGATGTTATGAAAGGGTGCTGCAGGGGGCTGTGGAGATGCACAGAAAGATCACCTAACCCAGGATCAAAGAGGGAGGAATAGAGGAAGCAATGTATCCCTGAAAGCTGACTATCCATAGGATCTGGCCACGCAACCTGAGTGTGTACAGAAGCTCAAAGGAGGGAGAAAACTTCAGGTATAATTTGGGAGGAGCCTCATTTACTGCATTAAGGAGTCTTATCTTGCTTTTGAGGACAAAGATTTGTGATTTGTGTATTTGGCCAATAGG